TTGGCTAATGCGATCACATGTCATGATTCATGACTCATGAATGCATTATGGGTCAGCGCGCCTTGTCTGCGCGCCTTCCCAGAGATCCCCGCCCCATCTTCTCTGTCCATTTTCTCCTGTCGCCACACATGTCGCCGCCATTTTTGGGAAAATTCGATTCGTGCATCCGAAGTTTGCTAACCTTCGGATTCGTCGCGAATAGAATTTTTCCAAATATTCGGAACGAATTCCACTTCGTCATGTTCGATTCGCTCATCTCTAGTCAGCATGACCACATGACCATGCTGATCAATGAGAAACAGTTCTTTTTTCTGGGACTCCTTACCACAAGGAGAAGCCCCAGATGTGCTTCTCATTGAGCCACACCAGTGGTCTCCAAACTGTGGCTCAGGGGCCAGATATAGCCCTTTGCTTGGTTTCATCCAGCCCTTGGAGCAATATTTCATCCACTGACACCAACAATGTGGCATAATTCCCCCCCACTGACACAAATGAAGGGCCGCAATTTCTCCCAATGGCACCAATGATGAGGTACAGTTCCTCCAAATGACATGAATAATGGGCCACAATTTCTCCCAATGACACCCAATGATGGGACCCAGGGACACCAATGATGAGGCACAATTCCTCCCAATGACACCAATGTTTGGGCATTGTTTTTTCAATCTGATCTTTTGAACTTTTCTGCTCCCAATGGCCACAGTCAAGCCCTCCTACAGTCTGAAGGACAGTAAACTGGCCCTTTGTTCAGAAAGTTTGGAGACTCCTGATCAACATGGTCACTTGGCTGTGCTGGCCAACAAGCTCTTGCCATTATGAGCATTACGGTGGTTACTTACTCCGGGGCTATGTATTTCAGTGTACGGACCACTACACTGGCAGCACAGGTCATCACGCCTGCTATGTGCAGCAAGGTCTAGAAGGGTGGCCAGGATATTTTGAGTTAGTTCACCTTTTTCATGAAATTGTGAACTTACCCTTTAAGCATTCTACAAAATTCATGTGGAATTCCAATTTTATTTCATTTTTATTTTCCATTTCAATTGTTTCAATTGTTCAAATGTTCCCATTTATCCAGGTCTCGGCAGAGCTAATAGTAGTTTGTCACATTCAACTGCACTTGTTCTTTAATTCTGAAGATATTCTAAATGCTCTGTTCTGACACTCATTGGAATTGAAGAATCTGCTTGGATAATCTACAAAATGTCTTCAACATTACAGATCAAGTCCAGTTGAATTAGATTACCCACCTCTAGCTATTCCATCTCAATTATGAATATCTAAAACTAGAAAATTATTCTCTGATTTCTATTCCATGAAACCAGCCTGTAGACAGGATTTCCCAGCATTCTTACCTCCTGCTCCTACAATTGACTTGTATTTACCAGAAGTCTGCATAAAATTTGAGGTCAGATTGCTTGCATCCCCTAACTTTAATGGATAGGGAGTTTCACTGTTAAAGAAGGACCAGAAATGTCTAATGAAATACTAGGGATGTATTGTTTGTTATTACAGCACTGGAACTGGTCAGGCATTATACTAAAGGCCGAGCCTCCTTCTTAGCATTATGCAAAGTGATTTCAGCAAGTCTTCTAGTATGCAACATGTAGAGCAGTGATCTCCAAACTGTGGTCCATGGACTGGATGCTTGCATTTATGTGGCCCTTGAAGCCCTATTCCTCCCACTGAAACCAACAATGGGACACTATTCCTTCTACTGACTCCAATGATTTTAAATTACGATTCCAATTATTGAGGGAAAAAAGCTGTCCAAACCTATTTGGCCCTATGTGAAAAAGCAATTGCTCCCCCTTGCTAAATCATAACTGAACTGTGATTAACCACATTTTTTGGAAACCTGGGTTAAATTTCACTTGCCACACCCAGGCCTGATTACTGCCAGACCTGTTGAATCAAGAAATCACTTAGTGATACTAAACCCACAACAGTAAATTCAGTCTGTATATGCAGTAAAACATGTTTGTTATACTCACTGTGGAACCTAAGGGGTTAATCCTCTGCATTGTGTAAAAATGCTGTCTGATCCTTTCTTCTCTGTTCCTTCCCTTTTTAAAGCGACCACTTCTTATCTCCAGACTGAACTGTAGGCATGCACTTGCTCAGTTTGATGTGTATCACTAGAGAGGTTTTTTTTTTCTTGGGAGAGTGCATGTAATTAGCACAGGGCCAATCAGCACTGTCCAGACAGGTCAAGGGATTTCCATCCTCCTAGAATAGAAGGAAAACTCCTCCTTCAAGCTTTAGTTAGTGGTGGGCTGGACACAGATAGAAGTCACAAGAGTGCTCCAACTGTTGATGAGAAAAGGTATTTAGCAGTTTACATCTACTATAATAATTGTATTTCCATGTTCTGTGTACTGTGGGAGACCAGATACTGTATAGTGAATGCAGGGTTCTGGGTTTAGTAACACTTTAAATAGAAGCTGTCTGACAAAGTGAAGCATGCTAAAAGATCTCAAAAAGCAAAAAAACATATCATGCTGAAATCTAAAGAAATCCAGGAACAGATGAGAAACAAAGTAATTTACATGTATCAGTCTGGATAGGGTTACAAAGCCATTTCTAAAGCTTTGGGACCCCAGCAAACCACGGTGAGAGCCATTATCCACAAATGGAGAAAACTTGGAACAGTGGTGAACCTTCCCAGGAGTGCCCGGCCTACCAAAATTACTCCAAGAGCACAACAACAACTCATCCAAGAGATTATAAAATAACCCAGAACAACATCTAAAGAACTGCCTCACTTGCCTCAGTTAAGGTCAGTGTTCATGATTCAACAATAAGAAAGAGACTGGGCAAACATGGCATCCATGATAGAGTTCCAAGGCGAAACCCACTGCTGACCAAAAAGAACACAGAACACATCTCACATTTGTCAAAAAACATCTTGATTATCCCCAAGACAATGGGCAAATATTCTGTGGACTGATGAGACAAAAGTTTAACTTTTTAGAAGGTGTGCGTCCTGTTACATCTTATGTAAAACTAACACAGCATTTCATAAAAAGAACATCATACCAATAGTCAAATATGGTGGTGGTAGTGTGATGGTCTGGGGCTGCTTTGCAGCTTCAGGACCTGGACAACTTGCCATAATTGATGGAACCACGAATCCTGAAGGACAATGTCTTGCCATCAGTTTGTGAACTCAAGCTCAAGTGCACTTGGGTTATGCAGCAGGACAATGATCTGAAAAACACCAGCAGTCCAACATTGAATGACTCAAAAAAACAAAAAACAAAAAACACGAAAATAAGGTTTTGTGGTAGCCTAGTCGAAAGTCCGGACTTAAAACCTATTGCGATGCCGTGGCATGACCTTAAGCAGTCCATTCATGCTCAAAAACCTTCCAATTTGGCTAAATTAAAACAATTCTGCAAAGAAGAGCGGGCCAAAATTTCTCCACAGCAATGTGAAAGACTCAATACCAGTTAGCCCAAACGCTCAATTGCAGTTGCCAAGGGTGGCAGAACCAGTTATTAGGTTTAGGGGGCAATTACTCTTTCACATTGGGCCAGGCAGGTTTGCACAGCTTTTTTCTCTTAATAAATGAAATCATCATTTAAAAACTGCATTTTGTATTTACTCGGGTTATCTTTATGTAATATTAAAATTTGTTTGATGACCTGAATCATTTAAGTGTGACAAATCTGCAAAAAAAGTAAAAAATCAGGAAGGGGGCAAATATCTTCTCAGAGCACTGTATACTAAAAAAACTGTTAGATAAAGAACAAGAATTGCATAAGCATAAAATAAATGGAACCTATGTGATAAAAGATTTTTATAAATTTAAAATATAATTCTCAATCAAAAACAAAAATTCACAATAACAGTGGTAAAATTAAAGTGTCATCAGAATTGGCCACAGAATAACTGAAATCTTTTGACTGATGTTGATAAACACAACAAATCCCACATTGTCGTCTCATGTAATAATGGGGAAAAGAGTATTAGAGTTTTCTGTCTGTGCACGGATAAACCCCTGTGACCTTCTGTCCTCCTTTTCCAGACTTGGTTAAAAGTAATATTGCAACATTCATAGAATCGTGTGTGCTCTGTATAGATCTTCATTCAGTAGCTGACTTTGTTCCATTTCCCCACTGTTACACCATACCACACCGTGCTCTTCCACTGCAAGAGTATTGCTCACATATGTAACTGTCGCCACAGATCTGCAAAGGATGGTGTTTGTGGGTAGATAGCTTTCAGCAAACCTCTGTATCAAACACACTGCTGCAAGGTGTATTTCATTGCATCACCTCTGCAAAATAATGTGGTGCAGAGCTCATTATTTGTGCAGTTCTGCATATCTATGGAACTTACTAGGTACATCTGTCAGTTCCAGGAATCAAATTAAAGTTGATGTTTTATAAAACTGTGGAAACATTAGAATTAGATTGCTGATGGTGACAAGTACAGAGTGTTTTTATCAGTGGCAGTATTCAATTTTTTTTAACTTAAGTATTTCAAATTTTTAAAGTGTTTCTTTAACCACTTGCCTACCAGGCACTTATACCCCCATCCTGCCTAGGCCAATTTTCAGCTTTCAGCGCTGTCACACTTTGAATGACAATTGTGCGGTTATGCAACAGTGTACCCATATGGAATTTTTATAAATTTTTTTCACACAAATAGAGCTTTCTTTTGCTGGTATGTACCGTCTGCTGGGTGTTTTATTTTTTGTGCTATAAACAAAGAAAAAGCAAACATTTTGAAATAGTTTTTTATTGTTTCTATTATAAAATTTTGCAAACAGGTAATTTTTCTCCTTCACTGATGTACGTTGATGAGGCTGCACTGATAGGCAACACTGATGGGCACTGATAGGCAGCACTGATGGGCACTGATAGGTGGCACTGATGAGGTGGCACTGATAGGCGGCACTGATGAGCTGGCACTGATATGCAACAATGATGGGCACTGATAGACGGCACTGATGGGCACTGATAGGCAGCACTGATAGGCCGCACTGATGTGCTGGCACTGATATGCAACAATGATGGGCACTGATAGGCTGCACTGATGGGCACTAATAGGCAGCACTGATGGGTGGCACTGACTGATGACACTGACTGGTGGCACTGCTGGGCACTGATGGGTGGCACTGCTGGGCAGCACTGATGGGTGGAACTGCTGGGCACTGGTCGGTGGCACTGCTGGGCACAGGTGGGTGGCACTGATGGGCACAGGTGGGTGGCACTGATGGGCACAGGTGGGTGACACTGATGGGCACTTGTGGGTGGCACTGGTGGGTGGCACTGCTGGGCACTGATCATCAGGGCATTGATCATCAGTGCCCTGATGATCGGTGCCGATCCCTCCTCTGACAATTGGCAGTTATCGGCAGTACTTTCCTCACACTGTGACAGCGAGAGGAAAGTGCAGCTGATAACTGGCAACTGCATTTACCGGTAATCTGCTGTGTCATTGGACATGGCTGATCGCGTGGTAAAAGGCCGCTGTGATTGGCCTTTTACTGCATCACACGGGAGGGTGCGTTCTGGGAGGAAGTCATATGATGCCCTCCCAAAACTGGCCGGCCCGCAGTGAAGCCGTCATTCGTCTTTCTGCGGTCGGCAAGTGGTTAAGCTGGCTGCTATGCAGTAGTAGATTTTCAAATGTACATGCGTACGAATATTCTTGCAGAAATACTGTACATTTGATGACTTTAAGAATGTTGTTTGAAAAACTATTTCAAAATTTTGTTTGTTTTTACCAACCAATATTGGAATGAATGTAATTTCCCAAACGAGAACCACATACACTGTTTGAAATTTGTTCATTCAAGAAAGATTTTCCATTGCGCTTCTTTGAATTTTCTCATCACTGTGGTCAAACACAAATATTGATTTGACCTCACTAACTAGTAGAAAATGGAAAAAAACGTTCTTAAAAGGAGAAAATTCAAGCAAAAAATTCTACTAGCGTATGGACAGCTTAAGTCACAAATACTTTTTAATAAACTCTTGAGGTCTATAATAGGTCTACCATTGTCTGATCAAGCAAACATGTATCTATCAGACATTTTTCCAAAAATTATGTATACACTTGAAAGCCAAAAATCAGGGTAAATCAGTGATGGAGAAGAAGTTAAGCCAGCTATAGATAGTTCAAATCTTGGCCAGTTCAGCAGGGACTGGTTGGGTTTTGAACCATGTATGGGAAGGCTGATTTTACCCAAGACGATCCTTATAGCCTATAGCCGCTAGCAATAATCACTGTGTTCTTCCAGCAGGGATGGCGCCCTGCAGCCCTATGCCAGGAGAAAATAAAAACACGTTGGGTGTGTTTTCCCCATCAACACTGACTGCGTTGATGGGGAATTGAGAGATTTCTTTCCTGCAACTCGCATCATCTATGGCCTGCCTTAGGTGTCTTTGCAAAAAGCATGCAATGCCAATCAACAACTTCTAAAACAACTAATGAATTTATTCAAAAGAGGCATCAACTCAAAAAAGAGAGACATCCTTTTGTACCTTTTCAAGACATTGATGTGACCTCATCCTGAATATATTGTTTGGTTTTTAGCACGAGTTCACAAAAATGATGTCTTGGAATTGGAAAGGGTGCATGGAAGGGCAGCAAATGTATAAGAACATGAAATACTAAAGTTAAGATAATAGAATGAGTGAATTTGAATTAGTTTCTAGACCAGCCTTTTTAACCTTTTTTAGCCCAGGGGAAGCACTGAACTAATTTAGATGTTTTAGGCAGCCCATGGTAAAAAATTATTTTATCTACAGATCACATTACATTAGTATGATCAGTTGAAAACTTTTTTTAATAGAAGAATTAAGAAAATGGCATAGAGTATTTCGCTTTACAATACTCACCTGCTCTATATGACAATAATAATTAAATAGAGCATATAATGGTGGTCAGAAAAAAGAACCCAAACTGTGGAAATGATAGTATCCCGTGAAAAAGTGTCTCCATACATTAGTGGTCAAAGAAAAATTCCCCCAAATTGGTGGTCAGTGGAGAAAAGCCCCTTTGCATTGGTGACCTGTGTAGAAATGACCTCTTATATTGGAAGTCATTAGGAAATTGCTGCCTTAAAACATGGTGGTCATTGTAGGTTGCAGAGCAATCTGTCACTGCTTACTTCTGAAAGAATCCTTAGCAACCTCTGGAGGAACCCTTGGGAAAGACTGTTCTAGACTGTTTAAGGCCATAAAGAAATGGTTACTTAAAGGAAATACAATGAATTTTGATTCAGGAAGTTCTTTGATTGCCTTTGGAGGTAATTAATGGATTTTGTCCTAGTTAAAGAAAATTAGAGCATTGTTTATAAGAGTTCATCTTCCTCTAGATTTATTAGGCATTCAATCTAGTCTCTCACAGCACACAGAACATGGAAAAGCAATTATTTTATTAAATATAAACAGCTAAATACCTTTTCTCATCAGCAGTTAGAGCAGTCTTGGGACTGCTGTCTGTGTTCAACAGAGCACTGGTTAAATCTTGTAGGAGTTTTGTGAACCCCTGACCTCTGTCTGGGCAGTGTTGATTGGCCCTGTGCTGATCACCTGCACTCTCCCAAGAAAAAAAAAACCCTCTCTAGCAATACACACCTAACTGAGCATGTGCAGTGTCTCCACATGATATCTTATCAGGAGATAAGAGAGAGACAATGAAATAAGGGGAGGATCAGAGAAGTCAGGATCAAACAGCATTTTTAGACAATGCAGAGGACTAACCCCTTAGGTTCCACAGTGAGTATCACAAGCATGCTTTACTGCATATACAGTACAGACTGATTTTACTGTTATGGGTTTAGTAAGGTTTAAGGTTCTTAGAATACAAGGCCTTTTATGGTTGAACTGAACATATACAACTGTGTAACTGTGTAAATATAAAGCAAAGACTGGAGTACTCAACTTAAAAATGTTAAACCATATTTCTGTGTGTTGTATGTCTTATGTACGTGTGATAAAAATACATCTAAAGCTCCTGGCCATGAACGGAATATCAAGTGACCAAAACCTTACCAGATTTGAAAAATTTTGATTTATGGCCCTATTTAGGTCACATAAATGGCTCCACAGTGACCAGAAGATATTTTAATAGATATTCCCAATCTGATGTCCCCTGATTTTATTAACAAGCAGAGTTTTTATTTGGGGGAAAGTGCGAAGAAGTTATGTAATGAATATTTTGAGAATCCTGAGTGAGGGAAGGATTTGGGACCCAACTTAACTCCACACCAGAGTGTATGGGACTGTTATTAAACGTTATGATATCCCTAGCCATGAGATGTTCAGCCAGATCTGGTAATGGTGTCATAATGCTTATAGCCATGAAATGGCATTTATGTGATTTGACTGTTTATAGTTGAACCGGGTGATGACCTTGCGTTCTTGTTGACCATAGACATCACTAATGAGATACTTTTAGGTGTAAAAAGTGTACATCAGCTGTCCCCATCCATATTGCTAACCCCTTAACAAAAATACTGCAGCACCCTTTTTCCTCCTCCCCTGCTCAGCCTTTTGAACTCATTGCCCCCAAGTACATAGGTAAATTATAAACTATAAGGTGAGCCACTTTTCAGCCTTGTTCACAGGTGCATTACAATGAAACACTTTTTTTTTTTCAATAAAACCCCTTACAGATAGCTAAAAAAGATCAATGGTGTCAGTGGGAACTTATTAGAAGTCATTGCTCAGGCATCCCCTAGGAACCACTGGAGGAACTCTATGGTTCCATGGAACCCTAGTTGAGAAACTCTGTCTTAGAGGGAGTGATGATGTCACCCCCTCAGTCATGTAACAGTCCACGGGCATAGCAATTGGCCACTAGACCAGAGCATTGCATCATAGGAGGAGGTCACATGCACCCCCATACCTGAAGGTAATAAGGTATTTTTTGTTGGCAGTCATGAAAAGAGGAGCATTGGGGATAACTTTAGGACTAGGCACAAGGAGATCTAGGGTGGGTATTCAACAGGGGCGGACTGACAACTCATGGGACCCCCGGGCAATAGGGGATCATGGGGCCCCTGTGTCCTCACCCACACTTAAACCACACCCAAAAAAGCCTATGAAAGGTACCAAGGGCATTTCATGGGGCCCCCTACTGACCCCGGGCCCTCGGGCAGTGCCCAAGTTCCCAAATGATCAGTCCGCCCCTGGTATTCAAAAGACCCTGTGACTTTGTTCTGAATGGGTTGATAAAAGAACTGTAGTGTCTCCTTTAATGCAACAGTTATTAAAAAAAAAAAACCATGTGCAGATGTTGCCAAGACATCTGACCACTATCTAATGTCTAAATGTAGATCACCAAGATTACCTACATGCACAAATTCATGACATGACACTCGGAAGCATTGTCTTTTTTTTTATAACAAAACTACCCTGTTGGGAATGTAGGGGATTATATCTGCTGCAAACTGTTTTTTCTTCCCTGAACTTGTTGATATATGATATTTAAAGAAAGAAAGCAGACAATCACAGGAAAGCATTTCCATTATCATAGAATTTATTTTGCTTTCGGCATAAACAACACAGTAGCGCTGATGCTGGAGAAGAACATTGTGGCAGCTCGGAGACAGCAAGTGCTGAGCCAGCAGAACTGTTAAAAGTCAGTATATATTATCATTTATCAGTGGTCCACATATGCATAGATGCATGTTACACTTTTTTTTAGCACAAGTGTCTGCCTTTTATTATATTCCACTTTTCATTTCCTAATGATTGCACATTTATAAATAACATGGCTGGGAACATGCTTAGAATAATCTTTATTCAGCCTATCAACAGTCAAAGGATTTTTTCAAGGTAACCCCAGCAGTTTACATATGTTTTTCTTCTTTCTGGTATACTGGAAATTTCTGCAACTAAAACCACATTTTGGTTTAGCTCCTGTGGGTCCTTATTCTCTTAAAGGGCCATAAACTCTATTTTGACAGTAATCAGTTTTCAAATCTAGTCTAATTAGTTTAGTTTTCACCTGCTCAGTACTTCTGTTTTTGCAGCAGTTCAATTTTTTTCAGGCAACCCACTTTGCTTACTTGGTGAGAGCCTGGTGAATTAAAGTGTCAGTTCTCTAGCCCA